CCAGATGAGCATTCCCGGAAGCCAGCTCTTGGTGATCATCCGAGCCGCGCGCGACTTTCATTTCCGGATCATTTTGACCGTCGGGCCCGTGATTGGCTTTCGGCGGTGGAAGCGCCCTACAGCCTTGGTCGCGCGATACTTCCGCTCCGTCGGGCCAATCGGAGGAGACCCCAACGCTGCGCAAGCGCACGATGGGTCGGTGGGGAAGTCCTTGAAAAAGCTGGACTGCGAATTGGGTTTCTGAGGCGGTGGGGATGCTCGCGGCAGTTCGAGGGCTAGCCCGGGTCGGGCTGAGAGGTGATCTGGTTTAATTGGCCTGACTCTAATGGGAGAATTGGGTGGAGTTTCTCTTCGCTGGTGGGGCAATGTTGGTTACTAGTATTGTTGGTAGAAGGGCATCGATTGTTATTACTAGAGGACATGTCTTTTTTTTTTTTCCTCTCTTTCCCACGGGTTGCCGGGTAATGTAGTTCGCTAAGGAGGTTAGCGATCGCTAAGGGAATCTTTATAACTCCCTCACCAAAACTACAATTCCCGTGATCCTGTAAAGATGGAGCCATGGACAGTTACCGCACATACTGTAGTGAGAACGAACACTTCTTTCTATTATGAACATGAATTTAACCGTAATGTCTCTGTCCATTTCTTTTACTCGGGTTCCTAAACCTCTATTTGTCCAACGTTTTAATCTATCACGGTTTGGAATATAATCTGCCCCAAATAAACGTACAGATTACAGTGCACCTGTTTTTACCATGCTAAAATGAAAACTTATTTTAGAGCAATGTGATTTTATTCGGTTTTCCCGAATGAACAATATTAACAGAGCTGCCTAGTATTTTAAAGCATATTTCCATAAAAATACAAGAAAAAGCATTTGAATCCCACATATGTAGTCTTTGCTTCTTAGATAAGAACAATATTTCAACATTAACAATATTTTGTGTGTGAATCTCTAAACTATGAAGCAAACTTTAGTTAATAGTAGTTGTTCTGAAGTCTTTTTGGTAGGATTATCTTTTCAGGGATTTTCTATTGATTATCCAGTGGAACATTAGCTTTGGTCCACTTCCAGCAATTGTGATGATAGTTACATAGGCTAAATATTACTGACTATTTGTTTATTAGGATAAAGACTAATATATCATTTTATAGACTTTTTCTCAATTTTGTAGCTGCTGGGCGCCCTGCAGTCCTATTGCAGACTCGGTTTGAAGGAAATTCTTCTGCTGAAACTAAGCGTAAGTCTGATTTACTTAATATTCAAGCAGCATTTTCAATATGGACAGTTTAAGTAGGTCAACAGTCTATTTCAGTGCATCCAGAACATTGATTTTGTGAGTGGCTAGTGGAATTTCAAAATATTCTATCTAATTCATGCTTAAGATCCTGCTAACACTGCAGCATTTCCCTAATTCTAAACGTTAAGATATTGCTGGACTATAATTCCATTTTTTGCTAGGGACTGTGGAATTTGCATAAGTGCATCATCGTGCCTACTGTCCCTGTCCTATTGTCCCCATTTATTCGTACCTATTTTCTGTTTTCTTACTCATGTTTATACTTATACCTATTATCTTGTAAGCGATTGACAAATCAAATAAATAAATATATGGACATCCTAGAATGGAACCACTAGTTCCTTCCTTTATGTTAATATATTTGACTTTCAATCATTGCAAGACTTTATGTTATTATTTGTGGCAAGTTTTTTAAAAATAGTTTTTTTAGTGGTTTTTATTTCTGGAATATCTCAGCAGAAAAAATAATTGTCTTTTTAAAATTGTTAATTGCTTTTTAAAAATATTAAAATATTAAATATTTCTGCAGGTTATAAAAGATTGGGAAGGGGAATAAAATATGCTCAGATTAAGGTCTAGGACAAAGGAGTTACTGAAACATACTGGCTGTAGTTTGGTTTCAGAGAGATCTCTGGATGAGGTTCTCCTTCCAGGTTTCTGGACTTAAGAGTACCTGGTAGTGCAGTGAGTGAAGGCCTTTTTATAGGTGCAGCTGGTACAACTTTACCTGCACTATGGAGCAGTAGTATAACCTGTGGTTACACGTTTAGATTATTGCAATGTACTCCATATGGAGCTATCCTTAAAGATGATGGAAAAGGTACAGGTGGCAGACTAGTTGCTGAGAAACACATTGATTTTTTTTCAACATAACTTGTTATTTGGCTGTTATATTAATTACTTATAGGTTTTTGAACTAAATTCAGAAATACTACGTTTGACGTTTTGCATGGTAGTACATCAACTTACTGATGAGGTTCTCTTTTTCCTTCAAAATGATTACTTCTGCTTGAACATTATTTGAGAAACCTCTCAGGGTTCACCTCTACAATAAGTAAAAGGAACTTGGACTTGGAGGCAGGCTTTCTCTGTCATTGCCTGCCTCTGATGTCATGGATCTCCTTACTCTTGTAATATACCTGAACCCTAGTATTGTCAGTCTTCTGCAAAGCCCACATTTGGTGTATGTGGATTTTTGTTTTAAATTGTTGCCTTGTTTTAAATCACAACAAGTTGACTTGTTGTAAACTGCCCAGAGTTAGCCGATGTGGCAATATCCAAGTAATATAAATAAATGTGTATTTTGTTACTCATTTACAAATGTTGAAACAGTAAAAACCCTTTTAAACTTGTCTAGTTGAGGATGACTATAGTTATTTTCCCACATTACCTCTGTGGAAAGCTGAATGGTTCAGGCATCAGTCCATTTGGTGAAAATAAAGTTCTTACTTCATCTCAGCCTCTGCTCCAAGCATAGTCGGAATAACTTCAAGCTTGCTTTAGTTATATAGTAGCACACTAAGCAGTGATAAAAGATTACTGACACCACCACCACCCTACAACATGTAAACTGCATTCACTACCAAATCTATGAGATATCTCCCCCACCCCCCTCCTCTCCCCGACTTATCAACTGGTGTCCTTGTAAGGAAACATTCACAGCAAGTTGAAAAGTTCCTGAGTAGTGACAGGGGAAAAACTCAGTCAGAAACCTGTGGCCCAGTAAAACAAATTGTTTCTATTCACTGACTATAACTCAAACATAGTATGGTTAGCATGCTAACCTAATAGGAAGGGAAAAATAAGTCCATATGGATGGGTTTCTCTGAAAATATTCCAATGTCATACTTTAATTTCTACCATGCCTGTCTTTTCTTTGTCTTGCCTTTGAAACATAGTGGGCAAAGCTCTGGTTCTCCTTTTACTCACAGTCACTCATCAGAGTGTCAAAGGGGTCTAGTATGTATTGTATTAATTGCTTATATGTTGTATTTTCAAAATGATTTACTTACTTTACATGAGACAGGTTTTGGCTCCAATTATTATTTTCATAACTTGTTAATTTTTATTTTTTGATTAATAAAGGAAGAGGAAAACACAAAAGTATTATTTTCCTAACTTACCATTCTGAACTTTATTTTTAGCCACAATTAGACCCAAGGATGAAATAGCACAGAAACAGCTATCTGCCTTTGGAGAATATGTTGCTGAAATTCTGCCTAAATATGTTCAACAAGTCCAGGTGAGTTCTGCCAATTATTTGTCTTATTTCTGTTTATACTATCAGATGATCAAAATAACTCTTTGTCTCTTAAAAAATTAGAAAATTGTTTATTATGCATAAATTCCACCTAAAATGGCCAATAACAATTATTGCTGCAGCTAGCTGCTAATTTTACTTTTTTTAAAAAAATGTTATTTTACCCAGTATGTTTCATATATTTGACAATCATTGCATTCTTAGGCACTGGAGCCATTGGGGTAATTAAGCCAATGCCCCTTTAGCCTTTAGAGTTTCTGTCGTCTCTTCTAAATTTCTGCACCATAGTATTTCACTCATATCATTCATACTCAGTTTGAAATACCTGTAGTTTTTAGTAATGTGATATGATACTGTCCAGGCATTTGTGTTTAGTCATTATTGGAGGGGGAGGGGGGAGAGAGAGAGAAAGAGAGAGAGAGAGATGCGTATGGATGGATATAGTGGTAGTTATCATTGACTTTAAAATTCCTTCATTCCTCAAAGCTTTAATTACATTTCTATATATGTGCTACCATTTTAAACCTATATATGTGCTACCATTTTAAACCAGATAGTTATTTTTATACCAGGCAGGTTAAATTATTGGCATAATGGTGGCTTCAATTTTAAGATTGTAATTTTTGCTAGTCAATGACTGAAATTAAAGATTAGCACTAAACGAAGCTGCTTAGCATTGCAGTTTTCATAAGAAGCTAATCCCTTTAACATATTACTTTTTCTTTCTCTATCAGATAACATGTTACAATGAGCTGGAAATTTTAATTCATCCAGATGGAATCCTTCCTGTGATAGCTTTTCTGAAAGATCACACAAATGCCCAGTTCAGAAACATAGTTGACCTGACAGCAGTCGATATTCCAAGTCGGCAATACCGTTTTGAAGTAAGATCTACGTTTCAATATGTATTGCCTCTAGAATTCTGTGATAAGTTCAACACAAAGGCTACTATACAACCAGCTACTGGTTGTATAGCTTGTCTGTTCAGAAAATGTGAAGGTATTCTTCTTGCTTGTTCACATACTTAGGATTCATCTAGCTTCATGTTTACTGACTTCCAGGTGTCCTATCAGGAAGTTTTGGGACAAAGGTGTTTTCTTCACCTTCTCTAGATGGAAATTGTTACCAACACAAAAATATTTCTCATATTTAACATTATGCACCCTATGATGTAAAAAAAACATTTTGTCAAATTTACAAGAAAGTTCCTTGGTTGTTTAAAATTGTCCTGAGAAAGCTGTTTCTCCCTCCCCACCAGGAGGTATTATAAAAAACTTGATTTGACTATAGCTGGGAAAAAACATTAGCTTCTCTGTAATGATTTGCTTGTGTAAACAAGATCCAACAGTGCACGGGGCGGTGTGAAGATGTGAGGGAGGTGCATGAGTATACAAAAGACACATAGTCAGTGTTGGGGAAGGTGCATGAGGGTGGTACATGGGGGGTGCGGTGAAACTCAGGGAATGTGTGCAAGCCTCTAAGGGAGGTGCAATTCACTTGATGTATGTACGTGCTGTGGAAATTAAATCTTTACTGAATCCATCCAAAACAACCATGACTGGTGGGAAATGTTTTGGCAGAGTCTTCATCTGCTCTGCTCATTCTTTCAGTGTTTTGAGAATGCTGTGTACCTTAGCCTGAATGAGAAGAAGGCTAATTGGCATCGTCTTTTGTATCGTGACTTTTGATTCAAAATATAACATGGGGCATTTTTTGCTGTCTTATAACTGCCCTGGTTCCCGATGATCTTCTTGTCACCTTTCCGATCTTTTTCCTACCCATCAAAATTGTGAAGATGGTGTAATAGGCCAATCCTTCTTGTGCTTTGATGATCTTCATCTTCATATCAAATCGATGGAATTTCCTTTGCTGCTGCTTCAGTTGAACTGGACCACTTTCTCTTTTTCAAGTGAAAATAAGTGCTAAGAGCCCATTGCAAAGTACACTAGGTGGAGAGAAAGAGAGTCGAAGAGATAGATGCTTAAACAATAATTTAATTGGTTCACAATAATTTATCTTCAGTGTTAGGATGGGGGGAGGCAATAGTGTTTTCCTTGCCTGCTCAAAACTTTATTCCCTGGATAAAGCATGTGAATGATCAATGCTAGTAGACTATTTTAAATATTCTGCTAGCATATTTTAAATGTGTTTATTTCTTATATTAAATATTTGATTATAGAGTCTGCCTTTGTTCTTAAGTGGCTCCCTCCTTCATGGTCAGTTTGTTTATATTATAACCTCTGCAAAACAATCTAATTTTTGACTATTGGAGAGAGCAAACTCTGATGGCCGGACTTTACATACAGTCCATTTGTGAAGAAAAGCCAGGGTTCACAAGAAGGGATAAAAAGTCATAAAAATAGTTTGCAGAGTTGAAGATCAGGAGTTTAGAGAACAGATAGATAACTCATATTCCTTCACTGGTTATTTTATCCTCTTACTATGCAGATGATCTCTGTCACACTCAAAAAGCACACACTCAAAAATATATAGCCCTCCCCCTTCCAGCAAAAATAAGAAGAAATAAGTTGGGGGAAGAAAGTTATATTGCAAAAGGAAAAGCAAAGAGGGAACAAAAAAAAAAAAAAAAAGAGAGAGAAGGGGAAAGAAAGAGAAAGAAAAAGAAAGAAGGAAAAAGTTTGATGCATTGACATATGTACTTGTACCAAAGAAGGGAGAGTAAATGAAAGAAAATTACCAAATACAAATTTGCTACATAAACAAGGTTGCTGAATAAATAGGTTTCAAAAAAAGACAGCAGGACATGCAGTTAGAATGCTAATACAAGATGGAGCATGGAGAGAATAAGAGAATGAAAGAAAATGAAGAGATATTTGTTTCAATGACTACAACAAAGTCTTTGTATAGACCATGCCAGAATGTGGAATGTATTAAGCTTAGTAATTGCTAGAACCCCAAATATTTCTAATAAGCATTCAATTTCTTATTATAAAGAAACAGAATAGTTGAGAACAGGAAAGAGGAAGAGCCAAGAATGAATATTGTTTCCATAATGTTTAATTTATGTAGTGAATATAAGAGTGACAGGGTTGAAAAAGATGATGGCTGCAATTAAAATTACAGTTGAAAATGTTATTAGTTGGAAATATATGCAAATAACATCATTTTGTTAGCTAAAAATTCTTAGATTATTATGGAAGTAAAAAGTAAACAATGAAAAGTGAATATTAAATATTAAAACAACAAGGGTAAAGTCTGTCATTATCAAGATGAGTGGAGTTATGTGAAACCATGTTTCTTCTACAGTATCCAGAGGATTTTTTTCAGCTAAAGTTAAAAAAAAAAAAGCTAAGTCAGTCAGATCATTAGACAACATTATTTTGTAAAACACTTATGTCAGAGAAGTAAGATCTGCCTTCCATCCCATTTTGGATGTGGGTGTATCAAACTGTTAGCGTCAAAGTGGAAGTTAGTGAAACAAGCACTCTTAATTCTCAGCCAAATAAAAGTTGCTTGTAAATTAGATGACAGTTTGCTTCAGAATCTCAAGAAAAGATCAGCCCAAGGTTAATTTGCTTGCAGAGAAATCAGGCCAAAATTTGATCTTTATGTCACATGTTCACATGGATACGTGTGTCTGTTTCTCTGTAGGCGTGTATATCTATCTAGGGTTTCGTATATGCTTCTAGATTCAAACATTTTTTTACCTAATCTTGTGTAAGTTTTCTGTGTAAACCTGTTGTGAAGCCTGGACAATTACTCCATGTTGGGAGGATAATTTAAAACAACTCATAATGATTGTACAGGTGGAGCACTGTTCAATTGAACAGTGTCTGCTACAAGTCTCTGAAAAATAATTTAATATTGATCTGCATTGGATTTATTTGCACAGATGTTATCCATGTTGAGATTTATCCCTTTACCCCTGGCCTTTTTTTTTTTTTTTTGCTGCACCTTTTGGGGGTTATCATTCCAATTTTGATTTTGTTAACTCATGAGTTTGCTAGCAAGTATCTTTTAATCCATCATGTTAAATTCTTTCTCAGTATGTAAAATCTGTCCGCTTCACTATTTTTACTTTTTTTTGTCATAGATTGTCTACAATTTCTTATCTCTACGCTATAATTCCCGAATTCGTGTGAAAACATATACTGATGAACTGACACCGATTGAGTCTATAATACCATTATTTGAAGGGGCAAATTGGTATGAAAGAGAGGTAAGCATTAGGGATGGTAACACTGAGAATCTAGTAAGGATTGATTTCTATCCCCATTGCCTTTTATTAACACATTTGAGAATATTCATTTATTTATTCATTCAAGAAAATTTATATTGTTGCCCAACTCATTCACAGATACTTTGAGCAGTTTACGGTAGTTGAGCTTCTGATACCAACATTGCTTAAAGTCCTAATAGTGCTGGCATCATGACCTCAGAGATAGTATTCCTTATTTGCAGGTCAGCTACTCTGACACTTGCAGTTTAGATAACTTGTAAATCTTTTAGGAAGTGATGAATGTTCATTCCATCCATTTTTCCCCCATACATGCTAATATTCTTATTTCAAGGAATGTACTAGTGCTTCTATACTATGAAATACCTTCTCAGTGATGCTGCTTGTATATTAGAAATGCAATTTAAAACTTTCATATAAATACACAGGAGAATTTTGGTTTCCCAAAATGCTTTTTTTCTCTTTTGATGAGCAGATAGTAATCTTAATGGTAAGATTTGGGGTGAATGTGTAGTATACCAAATGAAAAAAAAAAAAAAGAGTTTTATGTTGACTTGAGCCAAAAATGAACTGGGTAATTCAAATCAGCACCATCTTTTTCATATTACAGAGCCAATCTCTGTTAGTGTTGCAAAAGGAAAGTATAGCATCATAGGTGAATGGCATGCCAAGATCAGTTGTGATGGGCCATATTTGATGACTCTTAATTTAAATCTTTCCAGATGTGCAGGATTTGGGTTTATTGGTTTGGGAATCAAGAAATTGTCATGATATAAGCAGGGGTCTCCAACCTTGGCAGCTTTAAGACTTGTGGACTTCAACTCCCAGAATTCCTCAGCCAGCAAAGCTGGCTGAGGAATTCTGGGAGTTGAAGTCCACAAGTCTTAAAGCTACCAAGGTTGGAGACCCCTGAATACAGGGTAATGTGACAAGAATAGATAATAGTGTTTATATATAGTGCATATTTTGCAAAACTGTGTTTAGTATATTTAGGGCTTGGGAAAAGGGAGAACAAACATGAAATGTTTTAAATCATACTTAGATTCCATTCCTTTTCAAATATTTCCCCTCAGTTTGAACCTGACTTTTTGAAATGGCCCACTTTTTAAATATAAAGCTAACTTTTAGAATTCTTTAATATCATCAGCATGGAATAATCCCTTTTAATGAAATAAAGATCCATTTGAATCTCTATTTTCATCAAGAGAAGTGGATCCAGTTTCTGCTCAACAAATAAAGTCATCTATTATTTGGGTTTGGTTCTTTGCTAATAGAGATTCTGCTTGTAAATTACAAAATTTTATATTGGAGATGTGATCCTTTCCATTTTACAGATTCTTTGTTGAAAGCAGAACTATTTTTGCTTTCGTCATTCACACACTATTCAGGGGTGGGATACTACCGGTTCAGCATGTTTCTATAGAACCTGTAGCTGTAAAGAGCAGCGGACACCCAACCGATTCGGTGTTTGGCTCACCCGCCTGCCCCCGGGCTCTAGGCTGTCCTTTATTCCCTGCTTTTCCCTCTTCAGCTGCTTTGCGTGGCACAGCTGAGATTGAAAAAGCAGGAAACGAGGATTTTCAAATGCTGCACACCGGAGCGCAGCACTTGTCAGCTGTCCAGGCAGCACAGCTGATGATTTTTTGCAAATGCTGCACACACGATTGTCCCTAGTTCGGAGAACCAGCAAATTGCTCCACTGGCTGGCCCCTCCCCTCCCCACCCACTCACTCTTTACCTGGCATGCAAGCCATCCAACTTGCCTGGTTTGGTAAGTTGCTATTTTTCCTTTTTTTTCCCCCTGACCATTAGCTGTACTGCTCTGCCAGCAGATTTAGATTAGCCAGAAAGAGGAAATCCTTGGATTTCTTGCTTTCTAGCTAATCTAAAAGCAGAGCCGAACCTTCCTTAGGACTGAAGCTTTTCAGTGCAGACTTAGGTAGCCGATTGCAGATAGATAGATCTCTAAATTAATCTGTGATTCTGTGAGCAACTCAATCTGCCTGCCTGCTTTGCCTGCTTTTGGGTAAAAGTTGCTCTTTTTTTATAAAAAAAACCCAATATTTACATAAATATTTATAATATTTACATACAAGCCATGCCCACCCAGTCACATGACCACCAAGCCACACCCACAAATTAGGCCACACCCACAGAACCGGTTAAGACATTTGAATCCCACCCGTGACACTATTTTGCTAATATTGTAGAGTGATTTAAATGGATTAGTATTACATTTCCCCCCA